CATTAAGATTGATTTTCATAGATCAAGGATATTATGAGGGACAAATTAGATACATACATATAGCCTATAGGATTATACATTCTTTCTCACATACTGAAACTTTTTACCTTATCATCTTTTTGTGCCCGAGGAATTGAACAAGCAATTTTTTTTGTTAAATCCTTTTCAAATTTTCAGAAAGCAACAAAAGATGTTCTAACTTGTCACCACAATTTTGTCCTTAAAGTTGTTACTAATTAGAAATCTATGAAATCAAATATCTCAAATCATTGAACCAAAATGATTGCTTGGTGTAGTAGGGCATATAAATGGTATATAGATTTATTGGAATTTCCTTTTCCAGCCTGTTAAAACAATTGACCTTCAATAGGTCAATACATTCTCCATACAAGGGGAAAATTATGTCATGTGTGATAGATGCAATTTTTATAAAATCATTATGTATTAGCTATTATTTTTTAATAGTGCATATATACATTTATTATGCATTGATATGATTGGATGTTTGGGTTGAATATTTTCTAGTTAGTATGAGTGATTTTGATAGAGGGACTCATCAAGTAATGAAAGATTAGATCAAGGTAGTTAAATCATACTTATAATATTTTAGCCCATTTTAATGGCAAGGAGTTGAGGAAATATTAGTGGTCATTGAGATTAATTAGGTGATTGATATAAATGATGATGCACAAAAATGGTTTTGCACACCACCTATCAAGTGTAGGTAATAAATGCAATGAAATCAATGAGAAAATTAAAGAAGACACAATTTATAGTGGTTCGGTCAATTCGACCTACGTCCACTCTTCAATGGCTTCAGTTGCCGGGTATTTTATTAATTCAAAGGTATGGAGAATAGAGATACAAGCTTTGAGAGAGAGAATGGAGAATCAAAGAAGTAGTAATTTCCGGTAGTCGGTTCGTCCTCTATAAGTCTTGGTGGGGCGTGACATTTTCCTTTTTTTCTTCTACCAGATTGGAGCTACTTTATTGCAGCAAAGAGATCATTCTTGTGGAGATCATGACTTATCCTCAAGGCTACTTTATCGCAACTAAGAGATTATTCTGGTGGAGATCACGACTTATCCTCAACGGAAGGAGGAGGTTGGGGAGCTCTTCATGAAACGTGGTCAAAGATTGGACCGTTTCCTTCGGTGGTGCAGATAAGCTTTCCATGCTCTCTTCTTGATGACGTGCTAAGCAAAAAGTCTAACCGGTCTTGGACTGTCTTGGACTTGGTGGATTTGGACCGTTTCCTTTGGTGGTGCAGATAAGCTTCCCATGCTCTCCTCTTGGTGACGTGCTAAGCAAAAAGTTTAACCGGTCTTGGACTGTCTTGGGCTTGGTGGAATCAAAATAAGGTTGGGCTCCTCAACTGAGGTTGGACTTTAACACATAAATTGGACTATTTGGGCTTAACCCATCAATAAATAAGAAAAAATGCTATATGAACTTAAAATGCTGACTTGATCAATCATAATCATTGAATAAGTAATGAGTTTCAATAAATTCTGAGACGCACATTTAAATCAATGACTGAGATTGGTGAAGTCAACAAATAAAGTCAACATTTTATGTCAATGTAACATTGCTCATAAATAAAACTCTCTTCTGGTTATAGACAAAACTATCACCAAGAAACACTCAGTTTAAAGAAAACTCATTAGAGATAAAATCTCAACTCTACTACATTCATATCAAAGATAGTTTCTAACTCTCAAAAGCTAGGTTCCCATTTATAGAAATTTTCAGATCCTTTATTTCTCAAATTCCAACAAATAGAAATCAACAATGCTACTCGAACGAAATCCTTACGAACTTTTGTTTCCCAGATCCATGTGCATTTGGTAAGCAAAAATGGAGTGAGAGTTTGGGTGTCCGCAAGCATTCTCAATATGAATGACTTGTATCAACTGCTATAATAGGACTGCAAATACATTATTTCAAATTTGGTGTCATGTCTAAATTATGTGGGTCATAATTATATTAGGTATAGTCAGGCTTGTATCGACTCATCTATTAAATGGGTCTAATGAGTCAAACAAATAATCCTGTTAAACCATTGAAGTTATAGTGACACCTATTGCCTCAATGTTTATTTCTTGTCAGATTGGTGGTATATTAAAAACTAGTTATTGTCCGTGCTCGAATGTACATAGTAATAAAAAAAATTGTCAATCATGAACATATTTGTATTTACACTCAAAATCAAATCACAAATATAAAAGAGAGAGAAAAGAATTTAAGCACCAGTTATAATGGGGATGAGTGGTGGCTGGCTGCAGTGGTGATGGTGGGAGACAGTGATTGTTATAGTGGGCGACGACGACTGTGGTGGTGGTGACAATCGTGGGTGGCAACTGTGATGATGGTGGTGGGTGTGAATGGTGGTGGGTGATTGTAGTGGTAGGTATGAGTGACAGTGGGTGGCGACAATGGTAGGCGATGACGAGTGGTGGTAGTTTGTGGTAGTGGGTGGTGGTGGGTGGTAGCAGTGGGTGACGGTGGTGGTGAAATGATAGTGGTAGTGATAATAAATATAAGAATGAGATGATGATAGTGGTGGGTGGTGGCGGTGGGCGCCGGTGAAAGTAATAAATGGTGGTTGTGGTAGAGGTAGTGGTGGGGATGGCTGAGGTGGCGGTGGGTGGCAATGGAAGTAATAAGCAATGGTTGTGGTAGAGGTGGTGGTGGGATGGCGGCGGTGGCAGTGGTGATCGATCATGAATTTTTGTTATCGATCATTACTAACCTTAATTAGTTTTTACAATAAATAATGAAAATTTTATTATCGGTAATTTCCTTGTGCAGTTTAAACTCACACTCCGATTATCAGTTTTAACTTATTATCGCCTATTATCGCTCTCACTTGTTCTTTGTGTCATCAACTCTCAGAATGTCATCATCATTTGTTCTTTGAGTGCCCCTCTTCTTTTGGTATTTCGACTCAGCTGATGCAACAATGTATCCAGCAACCTCAAGCTCTCCAATGGAATGACTACATTGCCTAGGCAAGTGTTAATTGAAAAGAAAAATCTTTAAAGGTTGTTCTCCTCAAGCTCTGCCTCTCTGTCATTGTTTACAACTTATGGAGGGAGGGAAACAATAGGATCTTTAACAATCTGGTTACATCCCAACAAAGTTTGCTTTTCAGGATTCAGACAACTATCAGAGAAAGACTTTATGTACTTAAGTTCAAGGCCAATCCTCAGAATCTGCTCTTAGTGTATCATTGAAACCTCTCATTTGTTTGTCTTGTTTGAGAGTTTTTGTGCTTTGCTACTGCCCAGGGATGGGATTGGGGTCAAAGTAAAGTCATTTGTTCTACTTCAATTTTAATGCCTTCTTTGTGGTGTTCTGATCATGGCTTGACTATGCAAGTTTTCTTTTGTATATTTGTAATTTTTTTTTGTCTTAATACAAGTTTAGATTTTGAAAAAAAAATAAATAAATAAAGAATTTTAGGAGTAAAGTGCCATTATTATGTTTTTACAGAAGAAAACACTAACATCGCCAAGGTTTTACGGTGTGATACATTTATCTTTGAGAGGATATATAAATATATTAATGTTAAAGTACTTGAGGGATACAATGTGATTTGTCCTCCAAAAGAAAGTAAAGTATTGGCTTTCTGTTTACCTTGTGGCATGGATGTGATCAATTCCTAACCCTTAAGCCATGTATCGGGATGATAGGGTGAAATGGTTGTTAAACAACCATTTATTTCAAAAATTTAAACTGTTAGAGCTGATGTAATTTATGTATTTATACTTTAACAAAGAGAAAAAAATACAATAATATGCCAAAAGACAAAGAAACCAAAAGGATAAGTGTCTGTTTGACAGACAACTCAAAAGTCCATCTTATGGATGCAAACACTTCTCAAAGAGATAAAATTGTTTGGTGTCCAAAAAAAATTGGACTTATCAAAAAGTGCATATTCAAATGCCCATTATAGACAAATTATTGGCAAGGAAATGAAGTGAAAGCATAAAAAACTAGGAAATCAATTCAACTCAATTATTTAAGGATCTCTCTTTGCCACTTCCTTCTTTGTGGTTTAGCATGAGAACCCAGAGAACTATATATAGAAATATTTGGCCATTCTAAAAGACTTCTATATACTTAAACATTATTAGAAGACAAGTATTTTCACTTTTTGTCTGACTAGAACTGGCAAAGTTGATTATTTGCTTAGTTGATGTAGTGCTAAGGTGAGAGCGATTTGGTCTTTACATGACCACATTAATTATATCCATTCGCTTAGACATATAAATAATATCCGTATTTATAACTCACCATTCACCTGCACCCAATTATGAAGAAGTTATCGACACTTAACAAATCATTCGGACTTGTATTCACTCACTTATCATTAATTTTCCCAGGCTTCATACATCACATTCACAATCCATGCCATAAGTTTAGTAAAAGATGAAAGGATGCTGCCTTAATTGAAGAGGACCTCAATAGCCATTGCAAAGAACAGTATTCCCATAAAATAGGATAATGCGATAAATATAATATAGTCTTATGGATATTACAACAAGTAACCATCTTTGAATTCTCAAGTCACAGAGAGATGATAGAACACACCGCTTGTATGAATGTGAGCATGAGAAGAATAGATGATAGAACACACCCCATCTCCCTGCATGATGAGGTCTAAAGCTTCGAAGAGAGGTTCCTATGCATCTACTTCTATACAAATTATAACATAAGTTGCTCTACTGTCGTCTTCTATTAGCTAATCTATATACAATGGTCTACTAATTACAATATCAATGAAGTTGAATCTATTGGCATCAATAGTCAGCTTAAGTTAACTTCTGCTAAAGCAATGAAACCCTACCTCACCCACCGCCTCTTTCCCCTTTCTTCTGGGCACTCCTCACCAGGCCCAATTCCTTCCATTAACTCCTATTTTAATCTTACCAGAATCCCCTTCTACCCTTTGTGCGTCTTTGTCTTTTCCCTTTTGTCCTTTCCCGTTTGTTTCCATGGCAATCCCCAAGGAAACCCCTTTTGAAATTAAAAAGGAGCTTACTCCTTTCGGCTTAAATGCTTGCTCGGTGTTGGGTCCATTAAATGGACAAGTCATTAAAGTGCTGCACAAAGCTTCTGGAAATGAATCTAACGGGAAAACTACAGTCATGGAGGTTAACCCAAATGGAGCTGCTACTGTGGTGGCAGGATGCTCTGTTCCAAGTGATGTTTATGTCGATGAGTGGTCTGCTGATATTTCTACGTAAATACCCACCGCAAAATGTGGTTTCCTTGGTATGGCCCTTGATAATTCAGAGGGTACCTGGAGTAACGAGGTAGAGCCAAGTAACCTTGTGGAGCTAATGCTCGAAAATGAGATGCTAAGGACGATGGTTGAGACCAATAGGAATTTTGATCAAGGGGTTTTGAACCATAGAGGTTTGGCTGCTGGTCGAGGAAATGGAAGAGGTCCATCACAAGAGGGTGGAAGGACTGGCAGTAACACATCCACTTGGGTGGCAAGGGTGATGTTGGAAATGGCCATAGGAACAGAACTAATGCAAGGCTGCTAGGAAAACAGAGTTTTGGAGCAACACCAAGCCCATCAACTGGTACTCCCTCCAACCCTTCTCTTAATCAAGAGACTTTTGTTAATGCTCTAGTTGAAAAGCAATCTGGCACATCTTGGGTTAGCAAAGTGAGGCATAACCCCAGATCAGTTATTGAGATGGAATTTATGGCCCCTAGCATGAACAGTGGTAGGATTATGGTCCAACCTCCCAAGCAGGTTGCTCTAAATGGGAGGCAAGCATTGTGGATTATTTTATTGGCAAGAAATTGCCTTATAATTTGGTTAAGGCATCTGCTTTGAGAATGTAGAGTACGAAGGGTTTGTTTGAAGTCACTGCCAATCAAGAGGGTTTCTTTTTCTTTAGATTTTCAAGCACTGGTAATCGGAATGAGGTATTGGAGGGTGGACCATGGCATATAGGGGGCCAACCCATTATTCTAAGGAAATGGCAACCTAGGCTTAAATTGCACAAGGAAGCTCAAAGGAAGATACTTGTCTGGGTGAAGTTCTTTAATATTCCTCATGAATACTGGACACCCAAGGGTTTTAGTTACATAGCAAGTGCAGTGGGCAAACTGCTTTACATGGATAAACTCACTGAAGAAGGTAGTAGAACTTCTTTTGAGAGAATTTGTGTTGAAATTGATGCAAAGGAACCTTTCCCAAAGACTTTTGACTTACTGATGGAAGGAGAAAAGGAGGGTGATATTGAAACAGTGGAAATTAGAGTGGAATACCAATGGAAGCCCCTAAGATGTGACCAATGCAAGGTTTTTGGACATAGTTGTCCTAAGATTCTTATAGAGCCTAGGATTTTGGTAAAGGAAGGTACGTCATTTGCAAAAGATGCAATCTCTAATGGTGGAACCTTTAACCAGTCAGTGGTTGTTCATGAGGTTGCAAAGGATGGAGGAAATATGAAGTCTTTGAATAAAGCCAAAGATAAAGGGAAGGAGAAAATAAATGAAGAGAAGGGTGGCCAGATTACCATTGAGCTCCAAACTAGTCCTAGTGCTTTGTGTGGAGCTGTTCCTTCCCCAAACAAATTTCAGGCACTAGTGTCTATGGCTCAAGGGGAGGAAGTAGTTATTGCTAGTGATTTTGAACCACCTAAACCAAGTACCATGGTTGACAAAATCAAGATGGTTGATGAAATTGAACAACTGAAAACTACTTCTACAAGGAAGAAGAACAGGAAAGCAAGGGGAAAGCTCAAGAATCAGGCCAGTAGTAGCCTAGTGGTATCTCATGAGGGGATGGGTACTCCTCCAATTTCAAACCCTAAATGACAGATATCTCATGTTGAAATGTAAGAGAGCTAAATGACCCTCTTAAACAAGCTGAAGTGAGGAGACAGATTAGTCAATCTGGAGTTGGGCTTTGTGGCTCGGTGGAAACAAAAATTAGGAGAGTAAATAATGAAAGGATCTTTAGAACTATGTTCCCTGGTTGGAATTTGATTAATAACAATGATTGGTCCACGATGGGCAGGATGTGGGTATGCTGGGATCCTCTTGTTTATGAGGTTGAGAAGCTGGACCAAAATGATCAGGTTATCCATTGTAAGGCTACCTACTTGGCCAACAAGAGAGTCTTTTTTCCCTCTTTTGTCTATGCCCAAAATACGAAAGTGCTTAAAAGACCACTGTGGCTTAGCTTGGTGCAAAGGCATGCATATATGATGAATAAAGCTTGGGTTGTGCTAGGTGATTTTAACGTTGTGAGGTCTATGGATGAACAGTTGGGGGATGTAATGCCAGAGATAAAGGTAGTGAGGAGTTCTGTGATTGTCTTTTTAGAGTGGATCTTGAGGATTTAAAGTACTCAAGTAATCAATACACCTGGTGCAACAAAAGGTATAATGGTGGTATTATTTCTAGCAAATTGGATAGGATCCTGGTTAATGAATCATGGGCTATTGAATTCCCTGCTTTTGAAGGTTTTTTCCTGGTTCCAGGGGTATCTGACCACTCAATGGCATTACTTAGACTTGGGGAGGGACAACTCAAGGGTAGAAGACCTGTCAAGTTTTTTGATTTATGGACCAAACATCAAGGTTTCTTTCCAATTGTGAGCAATGCTTGGAATACATAGATTAGGGGCACTTCTATGTTTCGGGTCTACCAAAAATTGAAGGTGCTGAAGAAAGAGCTAAAAGAACTCAACAAAAATTCATATAGTGACATCTCCACAAGAGCTATGGGTGCTAAGCAAGCTTTGGATGATGTTCGAAGGAAATTTGATAGAAATCCTCATAATGAAGAAATCTGGGAGGAAGAAAGGAGGAAGCTTCAAGATTATGTCCACCTGAGAGAGGCTGAAGAGAGTTTTCTTAAACAAAAATCCAGGGTCCAATGGCTAAACATGGGGGGACCAAAATACAAGGTATTTCTTTAAAACCATTAGCAAGCAAAGAATCCAGAGGAGATTAACTACAATTGAGAAGGAGGACGACTCCAGAGTTACTGATATGAGAGAGGTTAAAAAGGAGGTGCTACGTTACTATGAAAATTTGTTGGGTACTCCACACCCTCGGCCTCTGCTTCCTATGTATTGGGTAAGGCAATTCATTACTCGAAGAATCTTTGGGCAGCAGGCTTGTGTAATGGAACAAATGGTCACTAGAGAGGAAATTAAAAAGGTCATGTTCTCCATGAAGGAGGGCAAAGCCCTAGGGCCTGATGGTTACTTTGTAGGTTTTTTCAAGAAATCTTGGCATATTGTTGGACGTGGTGTCACCGATGCTATTCTTTTTTTCTTTGAGAATGGAAGGCTGCTCCAAGAGGTTAATTCCACAATCATTGCCCTTATTCCCAAGGTTCCCAATCCCTCAAAACTTTCTGAATACAGACCTATTTCATGTTGTAATGTTATTTATAAATGCATCTCCAAGATTATTGCTAATAGAATCAAGGAGGTCCTTCCCGATTGGGTGGATAAATCACAGGCAGCCTTTGTTAGAGGCAGGAGAATCTCTGACAATATTCTGCTTTCATAAGAATTGCTTAGAAATTAACATTTGGATGAAGGGGCTCCAAGGTGCACTCTTAATATTGATTTCATGAAAGCATACGATAATGTGAGGTGGGAGTTTGTATTAGAAACGCTTAGTTAGATGGGATTTCCTCAAAGGATGTTACTTTGGATTGAGACTTGTGTTACCACCCCTAAGTATTCCATTAGTATTAATGGCGAATTAATTAGATGCTTTGCAGGGAAAAACGGCCTTAGGCAGGGTGATCCAATCTCCCCCTACCTTTTTGTGGTTGTTATGGAAGTTTTTAATGGAATGATGAAGTCTATCACTCAACAAGGAAGGTTTAAATTTCACTGGAGGTGTGAGAAAGAGTCCATTTCCCATCTTTGCTTTGCGGATGACCTTATGGTCTTTTGCAAAGGCACTCTTGATTCTATCAAAGCAATTAAAGAGGTTCTTCAAGTGTTTGAGGTCTTTTCTGGACTCAAACCTAATCTATCCAAGAGTCATGTCTTCCTAACTAGTGTGCATCCTGATATAAGAACAATGATTGTGCAAGAATTGGGATTTGGAATGGGGGAACTGCCTGTCAAGTACCTTGGGGTTCCTCTTATTACCACTAGACTTAAGGCTGTTGATTGTCATTCTCTTGTTGGCAGAATTACTGAGAGGGTTAGTTCATGGAGCAGCAAGTTCTTATCTTATGCAGGAAGGGTCCAACTGATTAATTCTGTTCTCTTTTCCATTCAGTCTTATTGGTCCTCAATGTTTATCATTCCCAAGAAAGTCATTGTTCTTATTGAACAGATCTTGAGGAGGTTTCTGTGGTCTGGAGTTGATTTAAAGCCTGGAGGTGCAAAAGTGGCATGGGATACTGTGTCTTTACCTAAGCAAGAAGGGGGCTTGGGGATTAAAGGGGTTGAGGATTGGAATAGAGCTGCTATACTTAAACATGTATGGAATGTTGTTTGTAGTTCTGGTAGCTCATTATGGAGGGACTGGGTTGATACCTACTTGTTGAAGGGGAGATATTTTTGGCCCGTTCAGATTCCTTCAAATTCCTCTTGGGCTTGGAGGAAGATTTTGAGCCTGAGGGATGTTGTTAAGCCCCTTGCTAACTATAAAATTGGTAATGGAAACACAATTTTTCTTTGGTTGGACCCTTGGCATCCTGAAGGCCCTATTTATGCTAACAGGGGAGATATAGTTTTGAGAGCCTCTAGACTGGGGATGGATGCTAAGGTATGCAACATTATTGATGGAAGGGATTGGGCTTGGCCTTTGGTTGATCATGTGGACCTTTTGGAGCTGAAAAGAGGGATCCCTGCTGATATGAAACAAAATCCTAATAGTGAGGACACCTTACAATGATTACCTTCCCCCATACTTGAGTTCAGCACCAATACTACATGGGAACAACTCAGAAATAAAGGGCAAATTGAAAACTAGCATAGTATAGTATGGTTCTCTGGAGCTGTGCTCAGGTATAGCTTTATTCTTTGGTTGGCAGTTCGAGAGAAGCTTATTACCCAAGATAAATTAATTTCTTTTGGTATCCTTCAAAGAGCTCAATGTGTTTTTCGTAGAGAGGTAACCGAAACTCATGTCCACCTCTTCTTTGCTTGTTCTTTTACAAAGAGAATCTGGTTATTTTTGCAAAGCAAACACAATGTCCAATGGCCTAGCTTGGAGTGGAGGAATTTGGTTAATTGGTTTGCTATTAATGTTAAGGGGAAGGGACTTGGGAAACTGATCAGTAAGCTTATACTTGCAACTGTGGTGTATGTGATTTGGAGAGAAAGAAATGCTAGAATTTTCAGGAATGACTATAAAGATGTGGTGACTATCTCTAAAGATGTGGTGGATTGCATTAGATTTAAACTACACTTGAGCAGGGGTTACAAAAAAACTGTTCGTAATCTTTGGCTGCAAAAACAATGGGCTTTGCCTGTGGATATTTTTTGTCCTCCTTAAAGGTTTCTTGGTCCTGAGTTTCCTGCCTAGGGTGCCTTTTGTTGATCTGA